TCGCCCCCGCTGCCAGCTCGCCTCACTTATGGGTCGGAAGCGCTGCGTGGGGGAGACTGTTCCAAGATGGCGGCGGGTTGCTGCGGGGTGAAGAAGCAGAAACTGTCCAGTTCGCCCCCCTCCGGCTCAGGTGGCGGTGGTGGCGCCTCCTCCTCCTCCCACTGCAGCGGAGAGAGCCAGTGCCGAGCAGGGGAGCTGGGACTAGGAGGCACCGGTCCTCGCCTTAACGGGCTGGTTGGGTTGACTGGAGGAGGTAGCGGCAGCGGCTGTACCCTCTCTCCCCCCCAGAGCTGCGGCGGCGGCGGCGGGGGGATTTCCCTGTCGCCACCTCCGAGCTGCGGAGTGGGGACCTTACTTTCTACCCCGGCCGCCGCCACCTCTTCCTCGTCCTGCTCATCGTCCGCCGCCTCGTCCTCTTCGCCCGGTTCCCGGAAGATGGTGGTGTCAGCGGAGATGTGCTGCTTTTGCTTCGATGTGCTCTACTGTCACCTGTATGGATACCAGCAGCCCCGGACCCCCCGGTTCACCAACGAGCCCTAGTGAGTACCGTGTCCTCCGCCGCCCTCTCCCTTGCGCTCGGGATGGGGGGCTGAGAGTTGAGGCAAAGTGCGAGTCTCCTCCCCGCTGGCCCGCGTTGCCTCTGCCCGGGTCCCTCAGAGCCTCCCCGCGCTTTCTGCCCCTCACAGGGAAGCACCAGGCGCTCGAGAGCAGGGTGCTGGCCGCAGGGGGTGACCCCCTGACTCTTAGAGGGGTGGACTTGCTCTTTGCCATAACTTTGAGGAGTTTCGACCCTTTCCCTCTCTCCTTCGCCACCTTCTCACCGGAGTCGCGGCAATCGCCACGACTCCAGGTGTTGACCGCTTCCACGGTTTGGTTGCCATGCTCCGCACTCCCTGTTAGAGCGCCTTGCGGGATCCCTGCCCCGCATACTTTACTGCTGGAGCGCTACTAGCCTATCCCATCGCAGTTTGGTGAAAAATAGCAACTAGCCAACTTCTTCTAGTGATGGAACTTAGCTCCGGAGCTTTTCTGGAGGTTGCCTATCTTGGCTCCTGGAGAGAAGGGAGCTTTGGAAAAACGCGTTTCCCCTTCTTACCTATTTTTATCCGATCCTACCCTAGCGAAGCGCACGGTCGGCTCCCTCACGTTTGAAGAGTGAGACTTTCTTTTTCCCCACTTCCCTCTTTCCCCCCCCCCCTTCATTCCACCGTCTGGGTAAGAGCTCATTCAAAGTGAGGGCTGTCCCCATAGAGGCACTGTCACTTTGTACATTAAGCGTGCAGTCGCTTTTGTGTCGACTCCACTTTGGGAAGAAGAAGAAGAAGAACAAGAAGAAGAAGAAGAAAAATCTATGTTATGCTCGACAATTTGAGAATGATTTTAACATTCCCAAACAACAGCGACAGTGGAGGAAATATTATGGTTTCTTTGGGTTTTGTGCTTTTCATTCTTTTTATCCTTCAAGTATGTCGTTGAACTTGTTTAAAATAGCCAGGCAGCAGCCCAAAGCCAGGTTAATTCTAATCCCTGTCCATTTGGATGTGTAGGAGGTGGGGCATTCTCCCCCCCCCCCGCAATGTGTACACTGAGTGTAAACTGACTTTTTCCGAGTTAAATACTAAACAGAATGTAAAGAACAAGGAAGGGCAGAATGAGAAAGAGGACGACTGTTTTTATTATGAGGACTTAACATCCACTAGAAAAATTGCAAGGAACCTCCTACTGAAAGTGTGTGTGTGTGTCAGCCTTATTCCTCACTAGGACACGTCGTCCCGTACCCCCGCCCCATCTTTAATACCTGAATTGTTATTTTAAAAAGGCTTCCTTCCATTTTTGTGTTATTAGGGGATTGGACTACTACTGTGTAAATATGAACACTTCCGTCTAGTCTTAAAAAATATTACATTAAAATGTAAAGTGGAAATGACAATAAAGTGTCCTGAAAATTGTAAATATATATTGCTTGTTTTCTTCGGCATTGGTATTTTTAAAATGTTTTTAACTTTGTATGATTCCTCTGTGGTCTGTGAATTTTAGACTTGATTATTTTGGGGCATGGGTTAACGAAATGCATATGAATAGGTATATAGGTTTTGTCAAATAAAACCAGCATCTTAATAGGTTTCATAGTCCTCACTAAAGGAGTATAAATGTGAAGTCCACACTTAGACAATTTATTTTGTGGTTCACTTCGTAAAGACCACCAAGTAAAAATCTACAAAATAATCTATTAGCTCGGGTTGCTTATTTTTTGGGGGGGTTGCTTATTTTTACATTTTTATTTATTTATTTTTATTTTCTGCCTTTTCTTAGATGCCTATAATGCATTAAAACTAGTTCTGGAGTGATACTTAGGTTGGCTCTGCAGTCATGGGACTGCAAAAATTCACTCCTATTTAGTTCTTGAGCTGTTACATGAGTTTGGCAAAGGCTGTTTTAGTATTCACGCTCCATTGCTCCAAAGCATATGAGAACACACTTTCAGGAGGTGCTATTTTCACACATTTTAAAGTGAGTTTGGGTTAACTGAATGAATATAATAAGAATTTTAAAAGTAGAAGTAAGCTTGACCGGTTGATACAGAAAATGCTTTTGAAAATGTCTATTTGCACATGTATTTAGGTATTGCTTTAGTTCTAATGCCCAAACCACTGTGTTTCTTATTACTATACTGTGCTGAAATTAAACAGATAAATGCCACACACTTTTGACTACTCTGTTTAGATGTGTTGAAATGGTGGTGGAAGAACAATATTTATAATAATTATTATCATTTAGCAGGGCTTGAATCTTTATTCTAGAAAACAATTTAGTGTAGACATTAATAGTGACCAAAGAGGTGAATGAAAATTCATTTAAGCGAAAAGAAGACTGAAATAGAAAGATGATTTCTTTATATTTATCTTCAGGTTATTTTTTGAGGTGTATTTTGGAAATTTTAGGAAAATTCTTGAAGACCAAGTTTTATTATAGGAGTGAAATAACAGTCATTTAACAGTGTTTTATTAACTAACCACACATTTTCTGTTCTAAATCTCTCTATACAGTGTGCCACAGGACCATAGACCTGGCTCATCATGTAATGAGCACCAGTTTTGCTTCTCTTCAAGAGTGTTTTCCACAATTCTCATGTGTAAAAAGCACACTATTTTCTCACTTCTCTAGCAGATTATCTCCAACGGGTGAAAGGTGCCCTTTTCGGGTTTAGAAGTTCTAGATTCATCAGGTACCTTTGTACTCTGAAAATTTATTAGCAATATCAAGGGACCTTTTAACTTCGAGTTTTGGAGGGAGGTCGAGATATAAGCAGCCTATGTGGATAAAATTTTTCAGTGATGCTGATGTCTGTTAGAGTACTTAACCTGCTGCAAAGAGGTAGCACTAGCTAGAGCTATAGAGAAAGGTTGAAACTCCTTGCATTAGAAATGCAAGACAGGTAGCCTTTATGTTAAAGATATGCATTGCTAAGGCCTTGGTTTCAGTTATGCAGACCTCTTTGCCCATAGATACAAGAGTCAAATGCTGAAAACACAACTTCAGGTACATTTTCCCATTCAGAGCCTGAACATTTATGTAATAGAGCCAAAATAGCCATTTTATAGGAAACTCAAACTGGAGGCCTAGTTGGTCCAGTGTTGCATTGCACTGCCAACCCAAAGGTGGGTAGTTCAAACCCAACAGCTTCTCTGTGAGGGAAAAATGGGCAGTTTCTTCCTGGAAGATTTATGGCCTCTGAAAAACCCACTGGAGGGTTAGCTATGGGTCTTTTCCATCTTGATGACAATGACTTTGAGTTGTTGGTTTTGTTTTGTTTTCAAATAAAGGGATCACCTATGTCAGGTGTTGGGTAAGTCAGATTCACAAACAGTGGTTCTAAACCTTCACTGTACATTGGTGATTTACTAAAAACAAAGGTCCCTAGGTGCCACCTCCAGAGGTTTTTTATTTAATTGGCCTCGGGTGGGGCCCAGGCATCAAGATTATTAAAAAAGCTAATGTGCAACTGAGGTTAAGAACCACAGTTTATATTCTACTAGACATTGCTCCTGAGATTGTGATTAATTTGGTGTGGTGTGGGATTCTGGAATCTGTGCTTTATGAGCACCTTAGGTAATTTTGGTAACCAATAAGGCCTGTAGTGTGGTCTGCAGAAAATGTTACCTGGGAACCTGTCAGAAATGTAGGCTTTCAGAAGCCCCACTTCAGAGCTCATGACTTAGTATTTGCATATTTTTCTCTCTCTCTCTCACAAACACACACACCCCAGGTGATTCTACGGCATATTAAAATTTGAGGAGCTTTGGCTCTCTAACTTTAGTCCATCATAATCTCCTGTAGTGCTTGTTAAAACACAGATTGCTGGGCCTGATTCCCAGAGTCTCTGATTCAGTACATCTGGGGTGGGGCTGGGAGTTTAGTTTCTAACTAGCTCCCTGGTGATGCTGAGGCTACAGTTCTTAGGACCACACATTTAGAAGCACTGGGTGAAAAAGTAGTGAGAACTTGAATAAGTACCTTATCACTGTGAGGAAATAGCAGTTTTCACAGTCAGTTTCCAGTATGAAACTTGCTGCTTCCATGTCACTATCATTTATCATGTTCACTCTAATTTAGCACTAGAGATTGAGTGCTGCCAAGAGCTTAAAAGTCTGAGGTTCTTGGGATAGTTTCATTCTGAGTACAGGGAAGGGAGGAACTTTTGGCAGCCTTGCCCTATTATTTTAGGTCCTTTTTCAGAAATTGTTAAATGTGAGGGATGATTTTTAGATGGAGAAACACAACAAAGGAGAAACACAACAAAGATGATATATTAAAGTGAGTTATATTGATTTTAATAAGCAAAACCATAAAATGCTTTTATGATTTGTTCACTAAAAGACCATGTTGCGATAAAATTTTAAAAGCTTTTATTTAGGCTTGTGCTTGTTGGATTGCACTTTAAAAATTTTTCCTCATTAACAAATAAATAGAAAAGATCCTGCTAAAGCTCTGGGATTTTTCAGGCTCATATCTTCAATGTTGTATCGGGTGCTACTTTTCATGAACTTTTTATTTTAATCATCTTACCACCTTTGAAGTTGTAATGTAATACTACATTTTGTAGTGTACTTTAACATTAAAAACCAATATGTGGGTCTTTTCCCCCTCATGAAGATAAAGAAAAACATAGTTTTGACACTTCACTCCTGAATTTGTAGATTTTGAGAGGCTCAGATCCAGTGTTTTTTTAATTTTCTTTTTTATTTTATTATTTTTTGTGTGTACCGTCAAATCAGACCTGACAGGTACAGGAGGAGATTGTTCCTCCTTCTCCAGCAGAGCATCTGGTGGATTTGAACCATGCACCTCTGAGATTGCAGTGAGATCCAGTGTTTTAACAGTTAACCCTTTCTTGTCTTTCCATAGTAGTCAAATGATTATTTCCCAGTGTATTTGGGAGGATTTGGATTGTATTAGGGCAGAAAGATGGGTACTTGTTTCCACAGAACAGTAATAATACTATTGCACATTAGTAGTGGGGGAAAGTGCTCAAGACAAA